TATATATATATATATACACACACACACACACACACACATATATATATATATACTGTAGGCCTATATATATATAATTTTTTGTTTGATCCACGCGGTGGCGCCCTTGTCTAGTTTGAGTTTGACAATTATTAGAAGGCGTTCAGCGTCTATGCTTCAGCTAATATCACTCCAGGGAAGAGTTCATCTTAAACAGTTGGAAAAATAAAATAAAATAGTAAGCTCACAGATAATGCTAGATGTTATCAGTGATTCTGATAAGTATGAAAAAAGCATGAACTAGCCTATCACCTGTTATTAAGTCTATAGGGCGAGTGAAATACCTTATTGTTGGATTATGTCAACAGGTAGCTAATATAGACCGCGCTGTAGTGATTTTATATAGAACAGTCTATGAACACCATTTGGACATCGTTCAGCGTCTATGCTTCAGCTAATATCACTCCAGGGAAGAGTTCATCTTAAACAGTTGGAAAAATAAAATAAAATAGTAAGCTCACAGATAATGCTAGATGTTATCAGTGATTCTGATAAGTATGAAAAAAGCATGAACTAGCCTATCACCTGTTAAGTCTACAGGGCGAGTGAAATACCTTATTGTTGGATTATGTCAACAGGTAGCTAATATAGACCGCGCTGTAGTGATTTTATATAGAACAGTCTATGAACACCATTTGGACATCAAGTTCTGCCTCCACTATAAAATGCACTGAGCCAATAGGAAACCCAACTTCGCATGCCCTCAAACGTCATTTATTGCCTCCAACTGTGGACGATATCCAGTATACTCCGTCTCTTGTGAAAGACTAGGTCAACTGATCGCGGATCTGACACATGCCTGCAGCTACAGATCAACACAAGAGCGCACACTTCTGACCGACGGACTGTCACACGATCGCTGCACCTCACAAGGACATAAGTAAGTGCCTGTTACTTATTTCAAATAGTTATTTGGAGTATTCGTGTATTATGTGAGGAGAGTATTTGGTGTTGAATCGCTCTGCTGTATTTTCCTCTGTTGATCAGAATCATTTTTATCCATCGGGTTCTAATGACAGGTTGTTTCGCTTCAACTCCACCTGCTGAAACATAGGCTACTTCATGTATGTCGTTGTTGTAAAACGTTTTTAGTGTAAATATTTGAAATCAGTGCCGCCAAAACATAGGCTATCGGAGTCAGTAAGTCTGGTTCATTTATTGATTACTCAATCTGACGAAGCGTTTCAGCTGACACCTGATCTGTAGCCGAGCAGCTGTCTTGATCTGACACGTATTTGTATTCTAATTGAGTAAGCTTGATTAAAGTAGTTTAGTAGGGCATCTTTATGTAGCCTACAGTAGAAGAGGAAGCTACTTCGCTTCTCCTTTTCTATTCAAACGTCTGTTTGACCTGTTTTTAAATGGCATTTTTTTCATTGTTATTTAATAATCAATTGAATTGTTATTGAGGGTGCAGTTACACACTTTTAAAATGCTTATAGTATGTCGATTAGTGGACACAGAAAGAGAGAGAGATGAAGTAGAGACTCCAAAGGTATTTTCACACTTAAAATGTATTAATATACATCATAAAAAAAATTAATATATATATATATTTGGACACTTTCTTGTCAAATGTTCTTGTGAAAATCAGTGTGAAGGTCTGAGAAAAGCTCTAGCGTTATTTGTTTGCAGATGCCATTGTGTCTCCAATGAACAACCAGACATGTTTAAGTGTGACTTAAGTGTCCCAAAAGTGAAATGTTTTTTTTTTTTTTTTCAAAAAAAAAATGAAAACAAAAATGGCACCTTGTTACATCATCACTCATTAGAAATATTATCAAATATGACATTTTAAAAAAGCTGTATGTGTGTTCATTATGTTTATTTTCACTTTATATGTTTATTAATTTGAGCTTTTTTGGACCTTCTAAGACTCATATACAACCTTTTATTGAAAATGCAACTGCTTGTTCGCTTTGTCAGAGGGAGAGGGAGAGATGGAGAGAGAGGGGGAGAGAGGGAGAGATGGGGAGAGAGAGAGGGAGAGATGGGGAGAGAGAGAGAGGGAGAGAGAGAGAGAGAGGGAGAGATGGGGAGAGAGAGAGAGAGGGAGAGAGGGGGAGAGAGAGAGGGAGAGAGAGGGAGAGAGAGAGAGAGAGACAGAGAGGGAGAGATGGGGAGAGGGAGAGAGAGAGAGAGAGAGGGAGAGATGGGGAGAGAGTGAGGGAGAGATGGGGAGAGAGGGAGAGATGGGGAGAGAGAGAGAGAGACAAACAGTCTTTAGAAGTTCTGCATGTAGAGTTCTGCAGAAGCATTTTTCATGTGCACAGAAACACACCTAATAACGCCTGCAGAGCCGAGTTAGGCCGTCTCCCCCTGAATCTAATCATTAAAAAAAGAGTTCTAAAGTTCTGTATCCACTTGAACTCTAGTTCGGAAGATTCTCTTCATTTTAAAGCACTAAAAACACAAAAAAGGAGTGCTCAAAAAAGTAATCTCTGTGTAATGGTGTCAGATCTGACTAACAAAGCACTCGATATCACCAACCCTGAAAAACATGGAAGAATCAAAGAAATTATGAATGAAGAGTAGGAGACATACATACAGCATTGGAAAGAACAAACCAAAGACCAAAGTCATCTCCAATGTTATCTGAAACTCAACAGAGAGTACAGTCTGCCTGACTATCTGGTCTCAGTCAGGAATATAACACACAGCCATTTACTGACCAAGTACAGACTGAGTGCAACTGAAAATGCAACTGCTTGTTCGCTTTGTCGGAGAGAGATGGGGAGAGAGGGGGAGAGAGGGAGAGATGGGGAGGGAGAGAGAGGGGGAGAGAGGGAGAGATGGATAGAGGGAGAGATGGATAGAGGAAGAGAGGGAGAGAGGGGGGAGAG